TACCGATCTAAAATTATAGTTGACTAGTCGGTACAACAAGTCGTACAACATGCTCGACTGGCGCGGCGTCAAAGTTGCAACCGAGCACGCAAGATACCGCCGTGTGCGCTGCCAAGGGATAGCGCTCTCGCTTCTGTACCTCTTCTTTGCGTCTCTTGTTGCGTTCTGCACGTACGAGCTCAGCAGGATCGCCAACACGCCTGTCTTTATGGGCCTCAACTTTGAGGCGTTTACGACCAACCAGTTCCACGTTCCTATCAACGCGCTACTCCAAGCATCGACGGCGTTTCCGCTCTCGACCAAGTTAAAACCCAACGCGACCCTCTCTCTCAGCGATCTCCTCTTCAAAAAGTGCGGCTTGGGCGACGAGACGTGTGCGACAGCTTTCGTACCTCGGTCCAACCAGATCTGGCAATGGGTGGCGAAAGCGTTTGCTCTGATTCCCAATTTTGACCAGCCGCGCTTCCAGGATGCCGCCCAGACCGTTGTGATTTCGCACATCAACAACCTCAGCGGCTGGAACAAGGCGATGGTGCAGTTTTCGATCCCGGGCCATAATGTCGCCATGACGTGCTTCATTCGCCGCGTCCGGCTCTTTGCCCCAGAGTCACCGGCGTCCTCCGCTGTAGTCGACACCCTCGCCTTTTGCTCGCAGCGACCGTTTGATCCGAATTGGGTTTGCGAAAACGAAGTCGGCCTGGACGTTGCCACGTATGCGATCCAAGTGAGCCAAGGCAAGATACAGTACATTGGGGCTGTCCGGCGCGGGGACGTCTACTACCGCCCCGGATACGCTGCCACGTGCCTCGGTGGTCCCATCTCCCCAATGCAGCTGGAACCCGTGCCCATCAACACCGAGTACGAAGGCGGCGTCGTGCAGGTCATGGCCCCTTGGGATATTGTTGGCGCTTGCAACTGTGCGACGCTCAACAAAGCTACAGGACGCGGCTGGCTCTTGCAACAAAAAGGTCTTATGACGATGCTCTGGACGTGCGACTCGCTCCTTCTTCAGAGCGCGCTCGTGCTTTGGTGTCTGACCGTCTACTTGGTGTGGCTGCAGTTTGCCTTTCTACGGCATAGTGCCATTTGCAGCGCGCCCGTCTTCTTGTCCAAGAACGTGATTGGGCCCGTGATTTTGCTCCTGACTTTCTACGGCAATCACAGTCTCCAGACACTCAGCACATTTATGCACCAGAACCCGAGCTACACCTACGCAAGTTACTACCAGATCATCGGTCCAGCCCTCGTTGCATCGATCGTTGGTATCATGACGGGGACGCTGATTCAGATCTGGTTCAACCCGCGACTGGTCACGCAGACGTGGCTGCTTCTGGTGGCCAGTGTCGTCAACTGGCTTCTGGTCTTTTGCGTTGAAGCGTTTGTCGTTGCGCCCCAAAGCAACGCCGTGCCGAGAACGTGTCAGCTCGCGACCACAATCAACTGCCTTGCGTACGACGCGCTTCCTCGCCTTCACTTGCTCTCGCCGCTTCTCTCGGGCGGCGTCGTTTTGCTTGCGATTGGCTACATCTATCGATCGTCTCGCCAAGCGGCTCATAAGCACACAGTACAAGTGCCCGAAACGAACTCAATTCTCAGCTACTTCAACATTCAAGACTTTGCGTCGGTCACGACGTCGATCGAGTGCTGCTGTGACACGGATGAGGCCGGCGCGGTTGCTGTTGACGCCGGGCTTTTACTGATCAAGAGCATGCTCCAAGTTTCAGATCGACACCTCACACGAACCTGCAACATCCCGTACACCTGTGTCTACCGCCTCTTGGCATCGACGCGGCTGCGTCGCTTGTGGAGCCAGTCTGTTGGCTCGATCCTCGTCGTGCACGTTGGACAAGGCGCCATTTTGCCTCGGGCGAGCTACAAGCTTCTTGACGAACTGGCTGCGGAGAAAGTGGCGACAGGGTATCTCTCGTGAACCTTGCGGCATCGATCGATAATTCTCGATGCTTTACTTGTTACTGGTGCCCGTATTACTGTTATATGGCGAGGACACGGGAAGAGTACACTATATATATATGAACGTGTTCCGCGTTATCTTCATTATGACACAAAGACTTCGCATACGTAGCGCTACGCCTGAATGCGTGGGAGTTGGCTCCAGCACTTGGTCGTTGGGTACACTAGTGCATTTTATTTACCCCGTGCTCCTTGAGTTGCCCGGCGTGTCCGTGGGGTATCATCCACACGGAGCTCCGACTTCTTTATACATGGCACCAACGCAGTGTTAGTACAACTTGACGTCTGCATCCAACTGGAATACGGTATTTTGTGCCCGCCCCTTGCGTGCTGTCGATCAAGGTGTTGGTCACGAGTGTGAAGCTTGGTATCCACTTCATCAGAAAACAGGGTTCCTACTAGGCCACCATTTCATACACCACCGACTTAACGTCCCTGCCGACACATCATAGAGTGTCGAGTCGTGAGTTATGCAGTTATAAATGTGTATTGGGTTAATAGTATAGAAAGACGAGCTACGTGAGGTACCCGGTCATGCCGTCCATGCGGCCAATGTCCATTTCATGCAGGTACAAGTGCTGAAAGTGGCGCGTGATCTTGCCGTCACGGACTTCGTAAATGAGGATCGAACCGACGGCCTCGCTAAACAAGCGGCGAAAGCACGGCGGTGTGAACCGAAAGATGAGCTCGTACTGCACGTTGGAGCTGCGCGTCATGACCGTGTCCGAGACGTGCAGCATGTTCTTGATGAGCAAGATGCCTTCGTCGATCCCGACGGACCCGTCGCCGTTGACAATCGCGCAGCTTCGCATCGTCGTCGCAATCGAGCTAAAGTCGGGCACGTTAAGGTACACGAGCGCCGAGTGCGAAGACGGAATCGTCACTGCGCTCGGCACCTTCTTGGCGTGGACATAAATGATAATGACGGCCACAATGATGATCGCGCCGGAAATGACGGCTGAGAGAAAGTAGGTGCGGGACACCTCGCTGTAGACAAAGCAGCTCGTGGATGTGGCGAGACCACAGCGCGCTGGAACGTTCGCATTCTGGTACGGGAATACGAATCCCTCGAGCACAAACACCACAATCCAGTTGATGATGCTAAAGAGCATGACCAGCCACGTCTGGGTGACGACGAGCGGGTTGAACCAGATCTGAATGAGCGTGCCCGTCATGATGCCGACGATCGACGCGACTTGGACGGGCCCGAGCAGCGAGTAAAAGCGCGACGGGAAGTTGCCAACTGGGTTTTGGACCAAAAATGTGCTGAGCGTTTGGAGGTTGGCGTTGCCGTAGAACGCCACAAA